ATTATTCAATTAACAACTGGTTCAAGAGAACTTGATAAACAGTTACAAGGTGGTTTTGAAACAGGTTCTATTACAGAATTATATGGTGAATATCGTTGTGGTAAAACACAATTATGTCATCAAGTTGCTGTTACTTGTCAAGTAATTTTTTTTTCAAAGCATGTTTGTTTGTTTTAAATCTTTCTTGAGTTTTAGTTACCAATTGATATGGGTGGTGGTGAAGGTAAAGCAATATATATTGATACAGAAGGTTCATTTCGTCCTGAACGTTTATTGGCTATTGCTGAACGATATGGTCTTTCTGGTCAAGACGTTTTAGATAATATTGCCTATGCACGTGCTTATAATACAGATCATCAAATACAGTTATTATATATGGCAACAGCTATGATGTGTGAATCAAGGTAGAAGCAAAACAAAAACAATGTTTATTATTTAACATCAAGAAACTTTTTTTCTCAATGTAGATATGCAGTATTAATTGTTGATAGTGCTACATCATTATTTCGAACGGATTATTCAGGTCGTGGTGAATTAGCTGCAAGACAAATGCAATTAGCCAAATTTATGCGCATGTTATTACGTATTACAGATGAGGTTTGATTGTCATATTTCATAAAATGATTTGAATTAGTTTGTTTTAATTTAGTTTGGTGTTGCAGTAATACTTACAAATCAAGTCGTTGCTCAAGTTGATGGTCAAGCTATGTATGGTGATCAAAAGAAACCTATTGGTGGTAATGTTATGGCTCATGCATCTACAACACGGTAAGTATTCTTATTTTTTTTATTTCACTTTAGTTAGTTTATGTTTGATTCTGTTTTTGTTTTGTTTTGTTTTGTTTTGTTGTAGACTTTATTTAAAAAAAGGCAAAGGTGATTCACGTATATGTCATGTTGCTGATAGTCCCTGTTTACCGGAAACTGATGCCGTATTTGCTATTGGTCCAGAAGGAATTGTGGATGCAGCACCGAAAGATCTTTGCTGAGTGTATATATGTATAAGATTTTCATTTGAATTATTTATTGTATTCTTCTTATTAAAGGAGAGTTGTGAGAGATAAGATTGAAGTATATGAAGCTGTTACGTTTATTTAATAATGTCTTATTCTTTTGTTTAAAACGATTGATAATTAGATTTTGAAAATAAAGATTTTATATTGATGAAACAAATAAAACTACTGAAATCAGAGTTGCTTTTTTTTCTTTAATGCTCCGCAAACCAAATTACTCAAAGGAAAATCAGCATGATTTTCCACTTCTAAATTTTTTATTGCGTTGCGCATTGCTTTCTGAATTATATCAAATTTTAACAATTTGATCAAATTGGGTATAATGAAAGTGAAACGAAGTTTTAGTGTGGTACAACGAATTTGAACAAAACTTTGGAAGTCTCTCATTAAAAGCTTAAAAACAACTGAAGAATTTGATATACGAAAGCTAAATATTACAGTAGATGATTTAGGTAATATTGACAAACATTTTTGTATGTATCTAAGATGGATCAAAGCTCGCAATATCAAAATATGCACAAATAACATTGATGATGAATAGTAGACAAAACACCATACGACCATTAGAGAGAACATTACTTTTAAAACTATTGATGCAAACAGTTTTTGCATGAAATAAAAATGTATTTGTTTGCATTGATCAGAAATTTTACGAGTTTACTACCATGAGAAATCACTACAAGGGAAAGAAGCTTGACAATAGATAATAAGAATAGTAAAAGTTCTAGCTGGTAACATACTTTGCGGAGAATAACTAATAAATGAATGGTTTCTGTATAGCTTTGAAAGACATTCTCCCTCTTGAACAGATTTAAACAAAAGCTATGTAAATAGTCTTGATTCAAAAGCGTTTTATCAGTTGGAAAACTTTTCTCATCAGAATTTTTACTATATTTATGTCACTACTACTTCTTTAGACTTTCAGAATATCAACGTCATTATATCTTCTATTCTGGACCAATCCAAGAGTCAATTCTAGTAAATCCAAAGACATTTTCAAACATTTGAAATATAAATAAAATCATCGGATTCGAAAATATATGAAAAATCATCTGAGATTTCTTACAAGACATTTCGATAGGTATCTTCATGAATGTCAAAGAAATATTTTTTCTTTTCAATAAATTTTATTTCACAATTTAATCTTTCTTTAAAATAAAGGCTCCTACAATGAGAAAACCCTATCGGTAAATTTTCCATATAAATTTTTTTTTCTGACTCAATTCGATTCCTGAGTAGATACAATATCAATGATTTATTTTCTCAATAGACAACAGAACTTTGAGAAGCAGAAAAAAACAACTCTCCATCATACTAATGCATATATAATCATTGAATCGTCAAGAAAACTAATTATATAAAAAAATTTTTCTACGAACTGCTTTAGAGAGAAACGGATGGTAAACGATGATTTTATTTTCCTCAAAAATTGTGTAAATTATTTTTTTTTCAATTAAGAATATAAGTTGTGCAAGAATTGAAGTAGGCGTGCTCTTATGAAATACTTAAGAAAAAATGAATTTTAAGAAAAGGTGCATAGCGACACATGGGTAGTTTTGACAAGTAAATAATGACTATAATATAATTTTTCTTATTCAATATCGTCTATTCTTGACTCCAATAAGCAGCTTTTTTCTTCATACAATGCTGAATAATACAACAACAGATACGCAATCACTGGAATCTTTGATTGTAGCTTATTATTCTTTAATATTGGTTATTATTGGAACTCTTTTTAATTGTTTAACATTCTTCGTTCTTTGTCGATCAACATTTAGAGATAAAAAAGCAAGACCAATCATTCATTATATGCGTACGATAGCTATATTTGATATTTTAATGTTATATGGATGGAATCTTGATCATTATCTAGTGATTGTACATGAATTTCGTCTTGTAAAATATTCAATAGTATCATGTAAATGTATTAGTTTTATCAGTTATTTTACCTCACAAACATCGGCTTGGCTTCGTGTCTTTGTTTGTTTTGATCGATATTTATCTTTAAGTCATTTTCATCGACCATGGATGAATCGATCAAAAACTGTTCTTATTATTATTGCATGTGTTATTATGACTTCTATTCTGTTAAATTTACATATACTTATTTTCGCCTGTTATCGAAAAAATAATGGTACGATTAGCATTCAAGCGCAATCGTATAAAATCTACCCTCTATGGAATCATGTTAATTTAGGTGTATACAATTGTGCCCCGTTCATATTGATGGTTATATTGAATAGTGGTGTTAGTTATCATCTATTTCGTTTTCATCATACTAATTCAACTCCAAATTCGCGTATTCAACATCGAGCTATAACACTAACATTAGTGATAACAACATCTCTTTTTTTACTTATGACTATACCAGCAACAGTTGCTTATGCATATTTTATGCAAGCAAATGTTACGATATTACATTTTTTGGATGCGATTCTTTATACATATCATGTATTATCATTTCCATTGTATTTAATTACATTTAATGAATTTCGACGAGCATGTATTGAAATGTTAACATGTAAATTTGGTCGTCGAAAAGTTGCACCACTAATTCATCCTCCACAGTAGTAGTCAAAATTGACTATATATATTTAAGACTAATGTTTTTTTTTTGTTCTTTTTTTGTAAGTTTCATTGCCTATGCATCTGTAGAGCTTGCTATTGTATTCACATATGAAAATACATTTTAATAAATATCATTTTTCGAATTTTGCTCGAAAAAAAGAACAAAACCAAAAGTGTTAATACAAGAATAAAAAAGACACCAGCTCGACCAAATTCTTCTTCCATTTTTGACTACGCAATAACTTATATTCGAAAGAATAGATTACATTTCTCATTATACGATAATACATATTCTGACTACAGTTCCGAAAGAGAAATATTCTATATATTAATATGATCTCTATCAATTAGGTATACACCAAATCCGACGCCTGGCTCATTGTTCGGCTTCAGAAACTATTCAATCAGTCTAGACAGTATCGAATATTCAATCAATTGTCCTAGCATTTCTTGACCTATATGGACAATTATGAATATACTCTAAGGTTCGGTTAAATTCAAATATTTCTAAAAATTCTTGATTTTTTTTTCAGTATGTGTACAGATCGTTAGCTTTCGGATTATTCATTCCCCTGTGTGTCTATATACTATAACCAAACTTAAGATTCTCTCTTTTGGCTTACTTCTATTTCTTTTTTTTTACTTGACTGAAAAATGATTGTAGTTAAGACGAAATCTTAACGTTTGAGTTCTCTGAATGCCGAATATAGATAAAAGAAGCGAAGATAAATATAAAAACTAGTTTTAATAATAGCAATTATTGGTCATAGTCAATTGTTGCTAAACTTATAAATATTCTAGCAATACTGATGGGAAACAAAGTTTTTAATGACCAAACTATTTTTATAGAACTGCATGATAATATACTGTTTCGATCATCATACACGTCTTTTTAACATAGTTATAAGATATTCGAAAAGTCCGGCTGAAACAAATAGTAAGTAGTTCCTCCGCAATTCAAGAAAATTAAATATTTTTGTTTTGCAGTTTGATCACATATTCATTTAAGTCTTCTGATAAAATGGCTGTACCTACAGAAGTCAAAATAGTTTAACTCATGGTCTAATACAAATAAACTAACATTGGAAAACGTTAACTACAAATTGAATTTAGAAAACGCACATCAACTAAGCATTGTGTTCTTCTTTCTTTTTCACTGTATAGAAATAGATTCTTTTTCTTTCTCTCATAAATTGTTTGAAATAATTTTCATCTTTTTAGTTCATGTATCAAATTTTTAAAGTTACAAGACATTGTTTCAATATATTTTTCTATTTGTACTTGACAGATATTTTTATATATATATATCAAACATATCGAGAAAAGAAAAACCACAAATAATACGATTCGGGTTGTTTAGATAAGAAAACAAAAACAAAGGCGAATTACATGAATAGAAAAAGTACAAAGTTTCTTTTGTTAACGTGGTGGTGGCGGTGGTGGAGGAGCTGTTTTTGGTAATGGTGGTATAAAACCAGTACTATTATTTTGATAATATTGTTGTTGATAAAAACTTTGATAATACATAGCAGCATTATATTGATTCCATTGACTCCATTGTTGTTGTTGTTGTTGTTGTTGTTGTTGTTGAGAATTCTGAGGATTTGTCCATGATGTTGATGAATTTGTATTACTATTATTTCCTCCATTTTCCATTAAAGCTGGTATATGTTGAGCACGATATGAATCACCTTCAATATATGCTGAATAATTATTATTTCGATTATTTCGTCGAAGAAGATAATGACCATCGAATACATCATTATTATTATAACGAGGACCTGTATTACTCCAATGAGTTGATGAGGTTTGTGGTTGAGTAGTTGATGTATTATTTGTATTAAGAGACATTAATGATGGAGGATTCTTTAAGAAAAAATATACATGTATATATTTAGCTTTATATGATGTTTCATAGGCTGATGCAGATAACATAATTTTTTTCAATATAACCGAATCAGAACTATCAGATATTCATCTAAGACTAACTGCGCATTTTTTACTGTTTTTGGCATAATACGTACTGTCACCAGTAATACTTAATGAGTATTGGGAATGAGGGTGTGAGAGTCTTCTCGGATCCTTGTACGTACTTTGGTGATTGAAAATCCAAAAAAGAATTTTTATTGTCTTGCTTGATATTTTATCTTATGCGACAGAGCACGAACAAAATTTATTTTTAGTTTTGCCCTGCCGCTCCACAAGACAAGGAATAAAACAGCTAAGACTGCTCGTATCTATCCAGTAGCCATTATCGAAAATCGAAATGATGACTAATCATTCTAGTCAATAGCCGTCTTCGATTTTAGTTAGCATACGTTCTGTACTATTGAAAACTTATTCATTTATTCGTTGTGATCCATTTCTAGGAAGAAAACTACAAACAATTGATTATTCTCAAGTACAATCGGAGAGACATTTTTTTAGTTATGGTGTCTTCTATTAATTTTTCTAAAGGTTTGAATAATTACAAAAAGACAATAATTGAGAACTTAAGGAAAATCATACCTAACGAAATCATAATAAGAATTTTACTTACATAATTATTATTAGTAGTATTTGTTGTTCCATTATTATTAATAGGATTAGTAGGATTATTGAATGTTGCTGAAGTAGTACTGGCTGGATTATTTGTTACTGGAACTCCACCTGTTATAGCTAATGTCGGACCGTTTGTTCTTGATCCACTCATTAAACCTTTTCGATCTTCTAACGATAAAGCATTTGTATCTGAATCTTTTTTACCCGTTAATTCATTAATTAACGATTGATACTAAAAAAAAAGAAAACATTATTTAATTCAACTATTTTTTTTTATAAACCTTACTTCACAATCAAGTTTTTGTTGTTCAACTCTATTTGCTCCATTAATCATAAGTGATCCATCAGGATTTAATTCTGCATAAGTACCATCTGCATTTTTACGAAATTTACAATCACTTGGTACATGTCCAGCTCCACCACATATTGTACATATTATTGTATTTGTAACAATTTTTTCAGCTTCAGTCATTAATTTAAGTTTACTATAAAAGAAAAAGACGAATTTTTAATGAATCTTACTACGAAAATTCTTCGATTGATAAATCGCTTTTTAGTTAAGACTATGTAGTAGCAAATGAGGTCTGAATGCCCTGATAAGAATTCATGCCTTCAACTGATTACTGCACATTTTACGCTATATTTTAAATGAACGTCATGATCTTTTGATTGGCTTCTATGCTGAAGTATGAGCATCAAATCTACCGGTTTATATGAGCGATCTAAAAGGTATGATATTACCATAGTTGTATCTCACGCTAGGAACAGTGACAAGATCTGAAATATTCACCGAAAATTATCCTCGTTAAGGTCTATCTCTATCCATGTGGCACCTATCGAGAAACTACCACCGGTATACGGTGCGCTGTATCAGCGATTTTTTTTGAAAATATTTTATCAAAACAGGTGTATATTTTGAAGTCTGTTACAACTAACAGAATTGAATCGATATCGACGTACTCTAATAATGCTAATATGTATCTGTATTAACCACAGAGCACAGGTCGGCTCGAGTAATGAGATAAATTTAAGTAAAATATGTTGTGATATTGCTTTGTTCTCAATTAATTTGAATTCTTTCCAATAAAGAATTTTCAATCTCGATAAAAAACATTTTCTTTAACCATTTGTAGTTGAAAGTAGAAGTCGTATATCTGACATGAATATATAACTTTTACATTCGAAGTTCTACAATTATTTTTTTCTGTTCTCACGACATTCATTTCAAAAATACTCATCGTGTCGACTTAAAATCGATTTATCCATTGGAAGATTTTCGTCGTTCGAAAAAAACTTCTTCTTACATGAGACAATCATTTTCACGTAATGTTCCATGAAGTAATGCTAATTCACGTAATTGTTGTTTACGTAATTCATTCATTCCTTCAGGTTCTTCAATAGCTTGATTTATTATTTGATTAACCTATATATGAAAAAATTTAATTTGTTTTTTTTTCCTTGAATAATGTTATTAAAAATTCTCTTATAATTACCTTTTCTACAGCTTTAGCTACAATTTCAGGCGAAGTACCGGTTATATAAGCATGTAAAGGTTCATCTTCACCTGGTAATGGACCGTATTTGACTAAACCCATTTTTCCATCTTTGATTGATCCTTTGCCTGTAAAAAAAAATTCCTATTTAAGTTTGAAAATCGGTTAGAGTTATATTGTTTACCTCTAATGATGATTTTCGCATTGGTCTAAAAAAATAAAGAGCAGAATTTTGTTTTACTAATAATATGTAAGATATAAATATGAATAAACATACTTCTTTTTCTAATGTTTTGAGTGTATTACCACGTGGTCCAATAATTAAACCAACAAAATTAACTTCTGGATGATCTTCTTGTGGAATCATTACTTTATCAATATATTTGGCTTGTTGAGGTCTAAAATGAAGATATTTAAATGATATTTTCTAGATTAGTTTCAAAATATATTTTAAGTTTTCTATTAGTTCGACAAAGATAATCATGTCCTCGAAATTGAAAAATTTACATGTTATGAAATATAGTCTTTTGAGCACTTACAATTTATGGCAATAAATAAAGTAGTGTTTTTTTATGAAAAAAAAAACGCAAAATACTCCTGTTTTACGTAATCATACGGATTACTACCAATGATTTCGTCACGGTTTATCAAAATATTAAAAAAAAAATTCTTTTACTAACATTCCAAAAATCGAGTCTACTTGAAAATTTAGCATCTCGACAAATGAACAAATTTTTACGCTGAAATTTCATATCGAAAGTTTAGTGAAACGCTCCTGAATCGACTTCAGACACTTATAGATATGAACCTTTCGAGGATTTCTCCAGTCCTCCTCATAAATAATTTCACAAAATAAAAAAAAGCGAATACGATCTGTGAATCTTCTATTTTCTTGTCGTTGTATCTATTTTTATTATAAAAAAATAATTATTCAATTCCTGGAAGATTATTTTATTCTATCTATTTTGGGATACATTTCTTCACTATCCTTTCACATAATCCTTCAGAAATACAATAGGAAAATAAAGTCCATCTCAAAGTACTGGTGGATGGATCATTTTTTTTAATAACTTTTGATATAAACAACATTGAGACCTGTGTTTTGCAATCTCAGAACGAGAAGATGAAAATGTATCAAATCATATATCATAGATTTTCTTTTCAGCTGATCTTTCTGAAAACTAAAGTATTCTGTGGGGTGATCACAGTAAATTTTTAATTATTAGTTGTATATTCGAACCGTCAATCAAACATGTACCAGTGAAAAAAATGATCTATATTTAGAAAATTGATTAAAAAAAAACTTCAGAAAACATCTTAGGAAAACCTATAATATATGATTCAATGCGACTTCACTTACTCTTTACACCGTGGAAGACGGTAACATTCTATCTTATTTCTTTGAAAAATTATTCAATAAGTATCCACTTGCTGTTCTTTTTGAAATGAGTATTAGTTGATTTATAATAACGAAATGTTATTTATATACGATCTTCGATCATATATCAACAACGTTTGTTATGATTGAGGGAGACCGAATTTCTATATCTATACTTCAACAATTTTTGGATTATGTTTCACAAATCTGCTATTCTCTCAAATAGGATACGAATGCATTCTATACTATCAAAATCATATGATATACATACTTATAATCAGCTGGTGCTTTATACTCAGGATTAAGTACAAGTAATTCTGTAACAAGTTGATGACGTTGTTCTTCAATTTTTCGTCTTGCTCGAACTTCTCGTGTATTTTGTCTTTTTCCTTGTTGATCATAAATTGGTTCGGGTGATGGAGACCTAAAACAATAAAAACAAATAATGTAATTAATTAATTAATTATTTCAGTCTATCTTGTGTGTTTTTTCAAATACACAAAAATAAAGAAATAACACACTCCATCGTGTAGAATACTGAACTAGAACATAAGATAAGATTAAAATTTTAACCTGAAAGAAAAAATGATTAGACAGGGATTTATCTTAAATGTATATATATATATATATATTGTACGCGTCTTTATTATCTCACCTTTCAATATCGATTGACGTTCAACGTCACACATAGACACGAGAAGATGACTAGAAAAGGAAGAGGATTTTAATATTAGAGGAAAAACAAAACATAATGGGAGAAACACTTCTGTCTGGATTTTGGTGCATTAGAAGAATTCGTAGCACTAAATAAAATAAAAAAGAGAACTTTTTTTTTGTATCGACTAACGCAAATCGATACTCAAAAAGAAAAAAGTGAAATAAAGACGAAAGAAAAAAAAAAGTGTCAAGTAAAACTCAAAAAAAAATGAAAAAAAAAGACAAACTAACAATAACTTCAAATATTTACCTGGCTCCATGATCTGTTGAAATATTTAAATCATTCATTTTTAAACGTCGTGTTAATTCTTCAATTTGAAGTTGTACTAAAAAGAATAAACGATTTTCTATTGATCAAAAAACAAATCATTTTACTTACATATATAAATTTTTTGTTGTTGATCTGTCATATTAGTTGCCGAAATTGTTGTTGGCATATTAGGTAAAAACACTCGGTCAGTTTCATCACCAAAACGTCGTTTACGTTTTTTTGTTGCTTGTGTATTATTTCCTGTTGAATCAGCTAATATAGAATATACTGATAAAAATCTTATTTCCTTCTTTTTTGTTTTGTTAGTACCTGGTGATTGATCTCCTGTTGGTGATCGAATTTTTTCATCTTCTTTTAAATCTAACTTAGCTAAAAATGATGGTGGTAACATAACAGAAGGAAGTCGTGGTTTATAAACAGAACTATTTTCATTAGTTGATCCTTCTTCTTTTTTTATTGAAATATTGCTTGTTGGTGGTGAAACTTCATCATTAGATTTTCTGGAATGTTTATGACTTTTTTTATGTCGTTTTGACGGACTTCGACTACGTGAACGTGGACTTCGTGATGGCATAAGATATGTGAATATATTGAAACGATTGGGTAATTAACAAAGATGCAAAATATTTATATGATGTCTTTCATATTTCTTACTTCATTTCCTCCTTTCGTTAAACTACAAAAGAATTGGATAAGGCTTTTCCATATGATGTCGCTAGAAGATGATGTTACACTATTTATTAAATATATATCAACTATTGCTGATTACAATCGCTTTTTATTTCGGAACTTACTAGCAAAGATACTCCTACGACTTTTAGTACTCATAGAGCTTTATTATAGGGCTAAGTTTAATTTGATGACTAAGCATGCTTCAATCCGGCTAATAGTATCCTGCAATCGGATCAGGTGTCCGACATCCAGCAATGTATGAGATCTCGATGTTTTAAAAATATTTTTAGTTTTTCAAATTTATTTATATAAAGGATGTTCGAGAAGTTCTGGAACGATGTTAAAATTCATCGTTCTCGTATTCAACCTACTCCCCCGTTCCCATCACAATAAAAGGCCCAGGGTCTTCTATTATGCTTAAACGGAAGAATATTTTAGGGGGGTCTTGTATTATGACTCTCGTATTTTTGCAATTTTTGTTGGAACTCACGTATATTTTCGAAGAATTTACTAAATGTAAGTTTAAGTTCAGGTTTTACGGCTCCTCAATTCTTATCATAGTAACCAGATGCCGTGAAAAATATATCTGTATATTCTCCCACAGTAACAAGAAATAGAGAGCAATTAATATCGACGGCTATATTATTTTAAAATTCTGTAATTTCTAGTTTCTCTTCTAAATATTATGTTTTTAAGTTTTTATAGAACTCACATATATTTTCGAAGAAACTGATAGTGACCGTAATTTTGAATCAAGGTTTTTTAGCTTGTTCTCTCTTCCCCATTATATGTCGTAGCAACCAATTAGATTTAAAAGGGTGTGGAAACTTCTAGAATCTTTTGCTTTTCAATAGTTCGACTATTTTTATGACATTTGCAAAAAGCTAGTCTCCTTTTTTTATGCAGAAAAAGGTTCTACGATTCATTTGAAAGATAATCTTTTGTGATTTTTCATAACAGTAGTATGAGTTACATCAAAACATGATCGAGCTACTTTTTAACTTTTAAAAATATTTATTTTGTGTCTTACTTAGTACATTAGTATGCATACAAGATTGTTAGGATCTGGTGAAGATACAACCAATGTCTATACTAAGCTTATCTAATCATTAAATTAAAGCTTAAATCGAATAATACGAAATAACGATAATCTCGATTAACAGAAGAATAATACATAGCGAATAGCAACAAGAAAAAAAGCACGCATTATAGAAAAAAATCTGTTTGAAATGTACGAATAGAAACTGCTGCAAATTAATCATTATGGTCAATGTTTCTTTAGAAATTAACATTCTGCGTCTGTTGTATTCATATTATAAATATATTCAGGAAATCTGATAAATGGAGCGAAGGAGGAGGTAGTAGTTCGAAATGGAATAGTTTCGTTGGAATAAAGTTATAGAGCGTAACCTTTAACTCAAACGATAGAATTAGTTGTAATCTATTCATTTATTTGATATCTTTTGAAAATAAACTTTTTCAATCTTTTTTGAGAATATTATATAAATTTGTAACAGTCTGACTCTCATGAGTACTACACTTTAGCACCACAGTGGCTACACTGATACGTTTTGTAACTAAAAAGGTCGTCTGAGAGAACCGAAGCGACTTTGAAAATTTGAGAACGGATTTTCACGATTTTCAAAGCTTAAATATAAAGTTGAACTCATAGATTTGAAAATTTTCAGCTGACAACTCCCCGGACTAAACACGTTTTGGCTTAAGACCACTAATGAAAATCCTCAGTTTTCCAAAAAAATCTTTAAATAAATGGGGAGTCTTCTATTACGCGGGACAAAATTCTTTCCCAAAGGGGTCTTCTATTATGGGAGGATCTTGTAATATGGAGAGTCTTCTATTATGAGAGGAGGGAGGAGGGTTAAAGGAAACTCTGTGAAACTTTGGTTGATTATTGTACATGCTTACTTCTACAGAACTACAAAGTTTAAGATCTATAACTGTTACTATGAGTGAGAACGAGTAACAACATTGTCATGTACTATTTTTTTCAGTTTTTCAGAAGCGAAAATTGATAAATTTCTAAAATAATACAATTTTTATGGGTGAGTGGTTAGAGTTCACCTGATCACAAGATAGTACGAAATACACTAACATTGAACGCCTGAAAAACTGCACTAAAAGTAATAGAACAATTTTCGTCGTTGTTTACGTTAAGAAATGATGAAGAAAATACCAGCATGATTAAGATTAGTCTTCGATGAGAATAGTAATTCAATCAATAAGCATTAATAAGTTAAAATAGTTCCCTTTTTTGATCTCGAAAAGTTGTATCGTTTTATAACAAATAATTCAGATCATCGGAAAAATTAAAAAAAATACTCCATGCTAGTATTGTTACGATTTCTGATTCGTAGAAAAAATTATACACCTGAAATTTTGTAATTACTTACTGCTCAGTAGGTACACTCCTCTACCAAAGTTCGACGATTTTGCTTTTATTGAATGCAAGAACAGTAAATTTTAAAATCGTTTCAGAACTTCTGAGACACTCTTAACATGCAGACTATTACTGATGTTTATGATTTTATGTTGACTTTTGTTTAAAACAAAAAGTTTAATGACTTTAAATTAAAAATGGATTCAAAATTCTACAAGCTTAGTTTAGGTGATAAATTTAAAACACGCAATTGAAATTTTGGTTTAAGCTCTCTCTCCACCAAAAAAGTCCATTTTCGTGAAAAAATATAAAAATTGAGATAAATGTATGATAAAATATTCTGCTATTTAATCTTTCGTAAATGTTATGATTTTTTATTTGACACTCTGGTATCTCCAAAAATTTCCGTCATTTTCACTTTTCCCTCGAATTTTGTTTATATTTGAAACAACATGTCAAGATGCAGAGCATGACAAAATCCCTTTTTTTTTAATTAAGCTTTATTATCAGTATAAAAGAATACTTTTATAATTGGAGCGCCGTTTTTTGACATGTTGCACTTGCTATCTGTCTTCTGCCCTCAAAAAGTAAGAACCTAAAAAAAAAACGTTCTCTCATACTTTTTCAAACAAAGCCCAACATAGCATGTTGAATTACTAAAATAAGATATTTGCGGCTACAGTTTATGAAATGTTTCACGAAAATACTATGATGAAGGCTTTAAAATTTTACCATAGTCTCTCCACTATAGCTTTAATATATTCTAAACTTTCGTGAAATTTAAGTGTACCTAGTCCAAGATCGATTTTTGAAGAGTGAAGAACCTTAAATTGAATTATGATATTAGAACAACTTCAATTCCTTTTCAATCTGAAGAATATTTTATTGTTGCACGTAAAAGTTTTTTCAATGTAATTAACTACGCCTAGTTGATCATAATCAGAAAAAATTCTTCCAAAAACATAGTTTTTTTAAATAATTTATTTTGTTCAACATTGTTGACATGATTTTGTATTCTATAATAAATGACTTTTTATTCATATAAATACTTTAGAAAACTTCAACGGACTAGATCAGTACATGATATTAAAAGCCATCATGTGTACCAATGCTGACATTGTTTCTTTTTCAGTTGAAAATCTTTTGAGAACAGTCGTTAGAACAGCACAAAATGCATAGTTTTGTCTCAAAACGGACTAGCCCGAAGCTCGACAGTGACGTTTCGTCTTGATTTACATAAGCGTAGTCATGCCTGAGTCACTTTTAGCTGATACATTAGCCTTATCATATTTCATGATGACCGGCAATACCATCATTAGGATGGGTACGCGTGACAGATAGAAACTCGGACTAGTTCTGTGCTAGTCTGTTTGCTGACAAAACGCTAAACATGTCAGTTCAATATGACTAGAAAAAATATTAACACATTCGACGCGATGGGACCCACTATAGGGTGACCCAAAACTTCCTTAACCACAGAAAAAAGTGAATATCTTTGCCATATATTGACGAAAGAGACTGGTTCTTTTACCACTGATAAAGGAATGTTCATAAGTCATATTCATAAGAGAACCGTTGATAAAAATTGTTTTGAAGTATTACAATTGTTTTGAATAAAGAAATAGAACCTTTCACGAATTATGAAAACCCAATATTCATATCGCGGCGAATGTATTAAGCATTTAACTCATCTTTTTCTTATTTAGAAAATGTCATAATGTATATTATATATTCACGAGAAATATAAGACAAAGTTCGATGATAAAAAAAATTCTCTTCATTTTTAATCATGCATCAAAGCAGGCACATGCTAATGAATCACTCAAAAAACACGTATGTTTTTGCGTGACAGGAAATTAAGCTAATTGATTCAGTATCCTGCACTTTTGTATTTCTTATTCCCCATTCTCTACAAGACATTGATTAGATTTATTTCAATTTAGTATACAGTAAAACTATGTCTTTGTCAAATACAACTGTAAATTTAATTACATCGTTGAACATTGCAGCAACATCTATCAATCGTTATGTATCTATTTTCATCTATATATTTGGTACAATTGGTAATCTTCTTAATATTCTTGTGTTAAGTCAACGAACTCTTCGTTCCAATCCATCTTCTATTTTCTTTCTCTTCTCATCAATCGCTGGTCTATTTGTCATTATTAGTGGTCTCACTGGTCAAATGTTGTCAAGTTATGCAGCTGATCTAACTTTGACTATCGATTGGATTTGTAAACTTCGAAGTGTTGTCCTATATAGTTCAAGAACAATAGTCTTATGGTTAATTGTATCAGCAAGTGTTGATCGATGGTTATCATCCAGTATAACAGTGAGACTACGACAAATGACTACCATGAACAATGTTTGGAAAAGTATATTTGTTGTTCTTCTTTATACATGTCTTCTCAATGCTCCAATAGTCTATTGCTTTGAAGCCAATCAAACTCAACCTCCACGACCATGTTATGCTTCAACATATGCTTGTCGTCTGATCACAGGTC